TTTTTTTTTTTTTTTTTAAGTTAGGAAAAGAAAAACTATTATTTTTTGATTTACATTTGTTTATTGTTTTATATTTTGATTCGCTAAAAGCATCTAGTCCTGCACCTGGCACAATATATTTCTTTTCCTTTCCTTTTATTTCATTTTTCTAGTCAGTTGGGCATGTACTTTATAAAATAAAAGTTATAAGCTGGCCTTAGTCTAAATAAAAAACTTAAAGCTGTACTTTTTTTCCCCCATTTATGCACAAAAAATGAAAATGTTTCTTCTTACAGACAAACCTTATTACAAAGACAAGCTTATTTTTTAAAAAGAGGGAAATAAATGAAATAAAAAATGTACAAAAAAGTGCCATTAGATTGTCTACAGCATATTTAACCCTAAGAAAGTGCAACTTTTTCTAGCAAGGCATGTAGAAGATGTTCCATTACCTAACCCTCCTTTGTAAAATGCCATGTTCAGGAGAACCGCCAAATAACAGTTAACTGCCAACTCTGCTGCTCCCGCCTCCCCCCATGTAACAAATATTAAAAGCCACAGGCTAGCAAATGCAAAATTTATTTCAACTGTACATAACAGATGTCTTTTTTCTTTTATAAAACAAACACTTCATTGCCATATGCAACCACAAACAATAATATGCATACTGTACAATACAATACAACATTCAGATATACATCCAATTAATTTTTTCAAATGGTAGTCAGCTACTAAAAATGGCTTTTCCCATTGACAGATAAAAAGCACAATATATAGATTTTTTTCAAGTCTTATACCGCTATATACACATTACTGTGTTTTGGCAATTGTATGCAAAACACAATTAATATAGCTTATTATATACTTATGGCAAGTATTAATTAAATGGGAACACCATTTAAGCCATTTGTAAAGGGCTTGATAATGGCTTAAACCTACCTTCTAATTCAGATTCTTCATCCTTTCATTATAACACTAACTGTACACATATATGTTACAAAATTGCATGAACAGAAGGTACTATTAACAGCATGACTAGAGTTCACAAAAATAGAAACACTGACCGTCTGAACATCGTTATCACCGTTGCCACACGAGAATTTCTTTCAGGCCTGTGGCACTAATACTTCTAACCAGGTGACAAACACCAATGGTGTCAGACATTCAAAACAAACCAAACAAACAAAAAGCCAGATGATTATTCTGCAGTGATCTCAGCGTTAAAGAAAATCATCAACGGGATGGTTTTAACGGATACAAAAAAGAATGGCGGTAAACGGTCAAAACCTTGGCGTATAGAATATTAATTAAAATGTCTGATCAAGATAATCTAAATGATAGTTGGCGTTCAGGAAAAGTTCAAGTGCAGCAACTGCATTTCAACATCGTGACATATATAGCACATGACATATGCAACCCAAGTTAACTAAGGCATGGCAAAGGCATTTAAGCCAATTCACTAATTATTATAGTCTCAAAGCAAACAAAGACACTCTACTCTAGGTATCAGAAAAGATGCCTATTCTATGTAATATAAAAAAATTGCTTCTGAATTCATTAGATGATATTGAGTATATAAACTTTGTAGTTATCATATTTCTCCAAAAATTCCATTTGCCATTTGTCTGAACATACATATACCACATCTCTACTGTGAATACTGGACTCTGACTAACTTTAAAAGACTGCTCCTCAACTTTCTTTTTTATATAATTGAAATATGAAATCTCCAGATAATAGAACTAGCTCAGTAACTACATCCAAGGAAGCAAATGTTTGAAATTAAGTTTTCCTAATGATCTCAGTAAGAATGACTTCTATGCAATCAACTCGAATCATGAAGTAATAAAGCTGTCTGACTTAAAAAAAAAAAAAAAAAAGTCACTGGCAGACGTTCACTAGCACCTCTGGGCTTGTGAGAACAGAACCCAAGTCCCAGGATACAGTCAGGTACTGTACCAAGTTATCACTAAGGAGACAAAATCAGAGCACTGAATACATGGATTTGCAAAGGAGTGGGGTAGTGGAAGAAGAGAGAAATCACAGCCATCTGGAATTACAGCCATCCTAAAGAAAGGAAAAAATGTTATTCCCCATTTATTATGGCATTTTGTTTTCTGAAGCTAGTTTCAATGAATACGTAAAACACAAGCCTAAGTTTCCCTTTTAATACCAAATACACTGCGAGCGGAAGAGAACGGTTTTCCCCTCAACGACCAGATGTAGGTTTGAATGTTACAACTGAATGTAACATGTCACATTCAGTTCTTTTTGAAGCAAAAATTAGTCTGAGTGAGGCCAGTGAAATCTCCTTACAACAAATCCCAAGGAAGTGGGGGAGTTCCACCCCTGAAATCCGAGATTTTCTTAGAAGCGAGTTACGTTACAATCCAATAAATCTTCAATGGACTCAGATGTCCCATTACAATGAAGATTACGCACTATAGGGGTTGCTGTAAATGGAGTTTCACTGCAGCTAGTTGCTGAAAACAAAGAATGTGCCCATGGCGATTACAGACAGCACAGGTAGGAAACGTCAGGGGTGCAGCCGAGCTGTGACTGGAGCCGAAGCACTTGACCTTTTAAGTAGACCAGACGCCTATCTGAGCTCAGTCTCATCTACACTTTAGATGCCGAATACTTCGGATTTTGGAGCTTAAACCTTTAAAAGAGTGGTACAGGCTTACTAAGTATGGAATAACAGCGATTATTCCATAGAGAAGTTTGGCAAGATAATCAAAGCGAATGTCCAAGCTTTGACAGTTAACTTTGCCTTTGGAGAAAAGAGCTCCAGTATCACGGGCCAGTGCGAGACATGGGGGCTGCGTGAGCACACTGAGGAGGCAGAGGTGTGGGTGGTGAAGACAACCTCCGAAAAGACATGAAGCAGACTCTTCTTCCCATCTGCCAAGGCAAAGAACTCATGCTAGCAACATAAACAGGCTATTGTTCACAGTTACCAAACGCTCTTAGGGATTTCTAGGAAACACAGCTATCTGAATTGAAGTTACAGTACTTTTGGTGCATATGTTCTTCTCATTATCTCTCAACAACTACTTGACCAGTGTGCCTATTATACATTAAAAAAAAAAAAGATGTAGGTTACTGTAAGGCTAAAGTCTCCTCCATATTGCTGGCACTGAGATCACAAACCTGTATGGTTTCAGTATACAATATAAAAGTGTTCATACAGCTGTATCCAAAAAGAAATGGGACGGCTGCTACACTGAGCATAAAAAACCAAACCATTTGGAGCTATAAAACAACAACTTTCTGTTAAAAAAAGAACCCCTCAGGCGTTGGCTTAGGAACGGACCATCTCCCCTCCAAAGTTAGTAATCTGAATGTATATTCAAATTGGCAATCAAGCCTCCACAAAAGTACAATGGAAAATATCAGAAACGCTCTCAAAAGTTGTTAAAATATCACATGAAAAGAGACGAGGAACAGCAAGAAAACATCTAAGGAAAGCAGGCTGTGATACAACAAGCATTCGTTAAGAAAAGCTCAGAGTGCATTAGTTCTGGTGAGAGATATATGAGCAACAGCTCTTACGAGATGCAGAACCCATTCTGTAACTATGGGCTGTCCATATACTGTCATAGTCAGAGTCTTCCGAGAGGTCTGAAGGCTCCAAACGGGAGAGGCTACTGCGACGACCCAAGGACTCTAGACTTGACTGGTCGTCATCGGCCAGGACGTGATTATGCATCAGGTCAGTGCCTTGCCATGCTAGGGACGCGGGGAGATGAAAGGACAGGTGTGGGTCGGCAAAGGTGGGATGGGAGGGACAACAGACAGGAGAGCCACAACCAAAAAACGTGGAAACAAAAGCAAAAGGTGATGGGAGGAGAGGGAAAAGAGAAAAGATTGTTAAAAAACAGCATCAATGCTTATTTATCCTTACTTATGACTGGGTTTTAAAAGTGAACTTAGCACAACCTTAGAATAAGACTAGTCCAACATTATTCAATAAACTTAGATCATGACACTGTTTCCAAATTGCTTCTTTTAAAGTTATTGGTATAAAGTTCTCGTTTAAGAAATCTTTTATAAACTCAGCCCAGCTTCAAAAGATGATTCTATAAACACTTGACAATCAATTCTATTCCACATTATGTAATAAACAGTCTCATTTAAGACATTTTTTGTGAAAGGGACTATTTGTATGTGGCTAATTAAAAATTGTTTCCTATTCATTAAGTGGATATATTAAATGCAAAATAGTTTCAAAGGATTTTTTACTTACTTCTCCAGCTATCTATTTGCCAAGACTATAAATCACCAGAAGTCATCTTAATCATGGGAACTAAACTTACCTTATCAACACATAACCACTGCAAAAATGCCAGAGTAGAGATATGAATTAAATGGGGTCTGCTTCCCTCTATTTCCCCCACCCCCCTCAGCCTCCTCATCTCTGAGGGCAGTAATCTCAACAGTAGTGCTCACGGAGCTCAGCCAGCAGAAGGGAACACAGTGAGGAGCCCTGTCTGTGAGCCATGTCAGCAGCCCTGTGCAGACCCCCTCTCACTGCCAGGGAAAGGTGAGTGACCTGGTAACGTCACCAGGTTAAAAGGAGGACACCAGAAGGAAGGGGTACACAATGGCAGAGCAGAAATGACCCCATGAGTAGTTGGCAATTGTGATCAATGGAACCAGCCAAGCAGCTGTGACTGGGAAACACGCAGAACCCAAGAGGGCTCAGAAACAGACACCAGATAGAAACAAGAGGGCTCCCTTAGGGTTTTTAACGGCAGGCCACAGCAACCACTGGTCCCGTCCTTGTTCCCTCTTTTGATCGAAGTTAATTCTGTTCCAAAGCCACAAGAAGAAGCAGTGGACTACTGTGGACTTCTTTAACTAAATCACAAAAGTCTGTGAAGGCCATTACTTCCTCACCATTTATACCTAAATGTTTCCCAGTAACAGATGTTTGGTTCAGTCTTTTTGGTATTCAATTGAGAACTGAACAGAACTGAACTTTAGGTAAAATATATTTTCCTTCTAAAAATTGTTTTTACTAAGCATTGAACGTGAAAAGAGTTGCTTTCACTACAATTCCATTTCCAAGTTGTCTTGATTAAGTACACGACTTTTACAGCAAAAAGGATCGATTTCTCCTATCACTAATTTTCTGGAGAATGTAGGTTTAAAGCCACAGGATTATAATCCCCTGGAGGCCATAGAGTGGTTTGCCCATAATATAAGTTAAAAATAAAAATCAATGTACTGTCCAAGGCTTTTCTCGTGTAGGAGAAACGGAAATACATAATAGGCAATGGGATAAGAAGAGATCTGCACAAACATGAGCCGTTCCTTTCAGGCAGCCAGAAGAAACAGAGCCACAGGCATACTACCTGGCATTGTCTCCTGTTACGAAAAAACGCGGCTTGCACTAACATACACACAAAACTCGTACGACCAGTCTGTGCATCTAAGACTACTGGGTTAAAATGTTATTTCAAGTAATTGAAATTGAGATGCCTACTTTTAAAAAATCTAAAATTCAAAATCTAAAAAACTGTGGCCACATTTTACAGTCTGTTAGTTGAAATACAATCCTTGTCAAGTAAATGAAACTGCAATACCTTAAATCGCAATAATCCATACTTACAAATTATTGCTTAATTGTCCATATGCTAAGTCCACAGTCTGATATGGTATCTAGACCTTTCCATTGATCTCCTACTCTGCTGACTAGTTACTATAAACAGGCATTTTCACCAGAAACAGCATGGACTAAAAAAGGACAGTGCCCATGCTTGGTAACAAGTCTTGATGGCGCAGGTAGGATATGGTAAAATACTGGCCACAAAAAACTTCTAGGGAATCTGCAGATTCAACCTAGAGGTCAACTCTGCCAGCCCTATTTTCATAGCTGTAGTTATCTTTAACAAAAGCTAAAACATTAGAAAATCAGACCTTTTTTTTTTAAACATTAGCTTAAAGTAAGTGCATAATACTAATTTTAAGCACCATTTTGCAGGTGATGAAATTGAGGAGGTGAGAATAAGTGATCTGCCAAAAGTCAGGGTGAAAAGGGGACCTGAACACAGAAAATCTAACAGAAACCAGTTTTGATGCCAGAAGTAATCTATAAAATAAATAATCTATTCTCAAACAAACAATCAACGTAAGAACTGACAGGACTGAGGACACCCTGTGGCATCCGCCGTCATCCTGGCACCAGCAGACCCACGAAAGGTCAGCCGTCCAGCAGGTGCAGGTACCAGCAAGAGGGAGAGAATAAGCCCCTCTTCTGAGCAAATGAAACGCACGGTTACATCCGCCTCCGTCACACTGCCCTCCATTCTCAACTTCCGGGGAGATATAAAAAAAAAGGTTTTACCGTCCACAAAATAGGTTAGGATTTTTTCATTTAAGGCAGTATGTACTGGATACAGATGGTAATGAAACCTACCAAATAAATTAGTTGGTGTCTATTTAAAAAAATTTTTTTAAAGCAATCATTTTTAAAAAGGGGGGGGGGGGGGCAGGGGCGGCTGAAAAAGCCTTGCTCTAGGTTCACATCTACTGTGTCCTACAGGGTCACTATGAGCCGGAATTGACTCGACGGCAACGGGTTCGGTTTTTTGGTTTTTCAGAAGTTACAAAAAGAAAAAGAAAAAAACTCAGCATGACACCAATGGTTCAAATTGCTTAAATAACTGAATTAACTTCCACTGTCTTCTAAACACATCTTCTCTAAGCATAAGAATGCTTCATAAATTCTGACAGTACTGTACACATAAATGTTTCCCAGTAGAATGTTATCTAGAAAAATCAGTTATTCTGCAGATAGCTGAGATCCTTTTATAATGATTCAAGGACTTCAGATTCAAGCTCAGCCATGAAAACACTGCTCACTAAAAACAGTTCAGACAAGTCGATGAGCTATGCAGTGGGCCCAACTCAACAGTTTACTGTAGGTTGTTAACTTACACAAAATACCACAGTTCTTACTATATTACCGTGAAATTAAACTTACTTGAGTTGAGTGTTTGTCGTGTTTTGGCACTTGTGCAGTAAGCTTCAATAACTTTTAGAATTTGAGCATCTTCTTCCAAAGCAGCTGTACCTGTCAAAAGAAGAGCAACAATTTACAATTTAACTCAAATCAATTAGTACAATTACCTTGACAAATGCAAAATCATCAACTCAACCAAAATGGTGATAATTAAGACAAGCCCTCTTTTCATTTTCTTGTCAGATAATGGTTTTCCAATATTTGGAAAATAGTTACATTCAAAAGATTTTCTAGTTTTTTAAAAGTATTTTCTATCTGCAACATATCTGGCTAAGGATTAATACTCAAAATATATGAAGGCTGTCTTACTAATTCATAAGAAAAACATTATTCCCCACCCTCAAAAGAAAGGGCAAGGATAGGAACGAGCAATTCATAAAATAAGAATACAGCAGACAGTAAAAGATGTTTAATCTTATTTACAAAGTATGGTTTCTCACACAGCAGCCCGACAAAAATGAAAAGGACTGGTAATTCCTGACGCTGACATCGGCAAAGAGAACTCTTGAAGCCACTAGCAGCAGTGAAGACACAAACAAGTCTCCAGAATTTGGCCACAGTTACGGAAAGCCTTTAAAAAGAGCATTCCCTCTGCTCCGTGAATCATTAACAGGAATTTAATATAAGAAAGAAGACAGCAAGGACTAAAAATCACCTCCAGGGGACTTGAAAATGGTTCTCAGGAATTGATAAAACTCAACCTAGAGCCTAAAGTTGTCACTCCAGAACTCTTCCTTAAACTGCAGATTACGTAAAGGCTGGCCTTCATCTAGACCACAGATCCTGAGGCTGGATCTTCCAGACTGACGGCATCCTCGGCCTTGGCACTAAGCACAGAGCCTCGCGCACAGCTGGTGCGCAGCGAGGATTACACGTACTGCAGGACGGAGCCTATGGTTCAGAGTGGAACTATTGATTGTTCTGTACTACTTGGATGTATATTCAAAAAGGCTCACCTACTCTAGTGAAGAAAATGAAGGCTAAAATATTTATAGCTGATTAATAATTAGCCTCAATGTCATTTTATGATAGTAAATCATATACAAGACAAACCAACTATTCAGCACTAAAAACTAAACTGCAGTACCAAAAATTTAAGAGTGATCGAGACAATCATTTACCAGGCTTCCCACAGTAAGTGACTGCTTTACGGAGTAAGAAAGATAACGTGTAAGTGGTTTAACTTCAGGACACGCTGCAAGGTAATTTCCATAGGTAGGACGTTCCCACTTTGCCAACAGGAAATTCCCTCCAGGAGTGGTGTTACCTGCCTGGCTGGTGTAATCTGACTGTTATTTTCAGACACGGTAAGTACAAAAGTCATCACAAGGTGCAGAGAAAGCGTATAAAGCCAGAAAGACTGTGCCAGCTTCCACGGATGTGTTCAGTTGTGAACAGTCATTACGGATCTACCTTCATCACAAAAATTAGAAGAAAGTAAACTGACAGCACACATTTCCTATGCGGCAGACTATTCTGTGAACTGAAACATTTCTAGGATTCTGAATCTAAGGAAGGATAAGTAACTCAGGAAATCACAATACGGCTTCACAGCAGTAAAGGTTACTAAGCACTTACTATGCACAAGCACTATTTACAGAAACATCATTTCTGTAAAACTTCTCTTTTAATCCACAAAAATGCTTGGTTTTCCTTCTACCTCACTGGCCCCTCCTTCAAAGTTTCCTATGCAAGTTCCTTATCTTCCTAACCAACCTCTGAACACCGCAGGGCCGTCCTTTTTCCTTCTTTGTCTGTACTTACTCATTTCCTAACTCCAGTGCCATGGCCTGAAATACCATCTAAACAATGGTAACAACTCCAAAATTTTTATCACCAGCCCAGACCCTTCCCACGGGCTTCAGAATCATGTATCTAATCGGTGACTTGACACTTCTTCCTGGTGTCTTTTAGGAATCTCAAACCGAATGAGCAACTCGTCTTCCCAACATCCTTCCCCACACCTAGTCACTCCTCCCACCGTCTCTCACATCTCAGTAGACGGGACTCAGCCCCGGAGCCGCACGAGCCACAGGCCTCAGGTCCACCCTGGACGCCTCGCTCTCTCTCACATCTCAGTACACAGGACTCAACCCTGGAGCTGCACGAGCCACAGGCCTCAGGTCCACCCCGGACGCCTCGCTCTCTCTCACATCTCAATAGACGGGACTCAGCCCTGGAGCTGCACGAGCCACAGGCCTCGGGTCTACCCTGGACGCCTCGCTCTCTCTCACATCTCAGCAGACGGGACTCAGCCCTGGAGGCGCACGAGCCACAGGCCTCGGGTCTACCCTGGACGCCTCACTCTCTCTCACATCTCAGCAGACGGGACTCAGCCCTGGAGGCACACGAGCCACAGGCCTCGGGTCTACCCTGGACGCCTCGCTCTCTCTCACGCCCGACATCTGGTCTACCAGCATGTCTAGGGGCCCAGAGCTCCCAATCTCAGCACCTCTGAGGCTCTGAGTTGGGTGATTCCTCACTAGGGGGCAGAGAGAGGACCATGCTGTTCACTGTAGGATGTTGAGCAGCATCCTTGGCCTCTATGCACCGACACCAATAGCACCCACCCAGGTGTGACAATAAAAATGTCTGCAACCACTGGTTAAATGTCCCCTGGGGACAAAGGCACCCTCAGCTGAGCATCATTGCCGGAGGCTCTGATCTTCGGAGAGCATCTGCCATCCGTCCACATCTGCACCACCTACATTATCAGGACCACTGTCAGACCAACACCAGGTCTCACCCTCACCTGGATTCCTCCCACAGCCTGTCTGGTCTCCCTGTTTCTGCCTCTGCCCATCTATCCTCAACACAGCAGTCATGGTGATGCCATTAAAACACAGGCCAGACCAAGGCCTGTGCTCAGAACTCTACTCTGGCCTCCCATTCATCAAAGCAGCCATGCGGGGCCTGCTTCTCCACCACCTTCCTGAATCCATCTCTTATTGTTCCCTCGTCACTCACTCGATTTCAACCACAGATGTCTCCTTGCTGTTCCTTGAACACACCACGCAGGCTTCCCGCCTCAGAGGCTTTGCAGCCCCTGCCTGGAACCGCTGCCTGGAGTGCTCCTCCCCAGATACCTGCTCGGCCTCTACCTTCAGCTCTTCCAGACTTTACCCAGACGACACCCTTTCAGTGACACCTTCCCTGATGACACTATTTGAAGTTGTCCCTACCTCCTCTCCCTCCCCTTGTTTACTTTTCTCTGCAGTACTTAACAACGAACACCCTTTATCTTTTACCTTTTCTTCCCCCCCCCGTGTTTATCTTTTTACAGAATTTAAACTCCAAGAGGACAGGGATTTTTATTTTCCACCTAGCCCCTGGCACGCAGAAGGTACTTAATATGTCAATGAATATCTTATTTGCAGCCATATCCCAAGTGCCCAGCACAGCGTCTTTCACATGGAAAGTGCTCAATAAATTCCACAAAACAACCCCACAAGTTATTTATTTTCCCCTTTTATAGATGAGTAATTGCACAGCCATAAAGGGCAGAGCAGGTATTCAAGTCTAGGTCTGCCTGACTCTAAAACCCAGCTCTTCTCCCCAGAAGGTGCTGACTTATCGACCAGCCATGTCATCAAGCGCTCTCTGCCCTGGTGTCAGACACTGTGCACCTACTGCTTAGAATCTGAGGGAAAAAAAGAGGCATTAGAGCAATTTATGCTGCAGAGTCTATTGTGTGTAGATCAGATGATAAGGATGTTAAGACAGCAAATGTTTATTGAGCAGTTTATAGGTCCATAACTCTATTTAACTCTTCCAATTTATTATCACCCCCACACTAAGGTGGGGAACCGGAGTTCAGGGATAAGTCACTTGCCGGGTCTCACAAGTAGCCGAGCTACGCTTCGCGTCCAGACGGGTCAGGTCAGGAGACCGGTTTCTTACCCACTACCCCACACTGCCTCCTTCTTCAGTGTGATATTCGAACTCTGACAAAAGTGTCTCTCCCATGAGCCTTCTTTTGGAAATAAAATCCTTGAAGGGTCCCAATTGGTAAGGTAGAAAAGAGAAGCAGTGTCTCCAGAAAGTTACAGTGGCTTATAAAAGATGTCTAGCATTCTCCTTCTGTCATCTTTGGCACAAGTGGATTTATCAGATTTGCCAACAGCCTAAGTCCTAAGATTGGTGGGAGCCAAGGAACAGGGAGCAGCAGAAAAAGGGCAGGCTGAGAAACTGACAGCAGGACAGAGAGACAGACACCTTTCAGAACCAGCCCTACAGCTTCTCTGGGGCTGGCTCTACTGTCCCGTTGGGCTTGGCCAACTACCCGTCTCAAGGGTCTTCACCGAGTGCTAAGCAGCTGCACAGTGACCTGCCAGTGAGAGGCAATGTGCGGTAGCCCTTCCTGACTAGCACCACCAGGAAAGGGTATAGATCCTGGGAAGACACAGAGGCTTGGGGCAAAGGGAGTACACCTTGGTCGTCGCCTGCTTCTAAAAATGGCTCTACTCATCCAGTGGATATCAGCCAAGCACTTAATGTGTGTAAGAGGCTGCACGAAAAATCTGGGGCTGAATTAGATTCTGCCCCTGGCTTTTGAAAAGCTTATACTTGAGTAGTGGAAATCATACAGGCATACAAGTAAGTATAATAGAAAAGAGACAGCAATATAACATTGTGGGTGGGGTGCAACTCTGAGATAAAAGCGACAGGTCACGTTCAGTCCGTGGACATACAGGAGGTTTCAGGAAACTATGGGATCTGAGAAAGAGTGGACAGAATTTCTGTGGGCCAAAAGGCAGACAGGAAGAGCAGGTGAGATCCCCAGGTCTAAACTGTACACCTGGCTTAGGTTCACAGAAGAAATGGAGATGAGTCAAGGCTGGTATGCCCTTTTAGTCTCTCAAATGTGATGTAATCAATATATACCCTGTAAGACTGTAAACTATTTTATTAAGCAAAAATATACGCACATGCTTCACTATTAACATTGCAGTGTTTCTGTTCGTCTTTAATTATAAATCTCCTGCTTGCTTGTGTAAACGCTGAAGTGGCTACCACAAGCATCAGCTCAATCACCCGACTTCCTGGGGTATTACCTTTAGAAGTCACACGGAGGGTCACCTCCCTGACTTGTGTGTGAAGTCTCTGAGGTGTCAATCTCCTCTCCACTCTAATGAGATACAGAGCACTTCGTCGCCCTAAAGAAGCCTACTCTTGCGTCCACACTTACTTTTCCTCACAGGAAGCCCACTCTTGCGCCCACACTTACTCACTTTTCCTCACAGGAAGCCCACTCTTGCG